GTGTGTGTCTCTCTCTCTCTGCCCCTCCCCCACTCGTATTCTGTCTCTGTCTCAGAAATAAACATTAAAAAATTAAAAAAAAATAACACTATACCACTTCACAGGTAGTGTGAGTACTTCATAGTAACAAAAAAATCCCAACTTTTTTCCTCCTACCCCTTGTATCACTCCTGCCATTCATTTCATTAAAATATAAACAAACATAAACATACATATATAGACACACAGAAGATACATACAGTTACATAATAAAATGCATAGTTGCTATTATTATTTTGAATAAACTGTTATCCTTTAGATCAGTTAAGAATAAGAAAAAAGTTTTTATTTTATCTTCATTTATTCATTTTTTGAGGCTCTTCCTTCTTTATGTAGATCTGAGTTTCCAACCTACATTATTTTCATCCTCTCAGAACTTCTTTTAACATTTCTTATAAAGCAGGTCCATCACTAACAAATTTCCCAAATGTTCATTTGCCCGAGAAAGTCTGTATTTCCCTTTTGCTTTTTTTTTTTTAATGCTTATTTATTTATTTTGAGAGAGAGAGAGAGAGAGAGAGAGAGAGAGAAAACATGTGCGTGTGTAATCAGGGAAGGGGCAGAGAGAGGGGGAGAGAAAGAATCCCAAGCAGGCTCTGCGCTGTCAGTGCAGATCCCCGTGTGGGACTCAATCTCATGAACAATGAGATCATGACTTGAGCTGAAATCAAGAGTCAGACACAACTGCCTGAGCCACCCATGCTTTTGAAGGATAATTTTGCAGGGTACAGAATTGTGGTGGGTCCCTCCCACCCCTCAACCCTTTAAATATTTCACTCTACTCTCCTGTTTGCATGGTTTCTGAGAAGTAGGATGCAATTCTTAACCTTGTCCCTCTATTGGTTAGAATCTTTATTTTTGTTTTTATACCTCTGGCTTCTTTCAGGATTTAAAAAAATTATCTTTGTCTGTACTTTGAAAAAGATACAATGAGGTCTGGTGGGGGGGGTTTGTTGTTGTTTTTGCTTGTTTTGTTTTTGCATTTATTCTGCTTGGTGTTCTCTGAGCTTCCTGGATCTGTTTTTTGGTGTCTGACATTAGTTTGGGGAAAGTTATCTGTCATTCTTTCTAATATTTCTTCTGTTTCTTTCTCTCTTCTCTGGTTTTCTTATTCCCATTACATGTACCCACCCTTTGTAACTTCCCACACTCCTTGGATATTCTATTTGGTTCAGCTTTTGCTCTATTTGCTTTTCAGTTTTCAAGGATTCTGTTTACGTATCCTGTAGCCCAGAGATTCATTCGTCAACCAGTCCGGTCTATTAATAAGCCCATGAAAGGCATCCTTCATTTCTGTATCAATCAGTGGTTTTGATGTCTAGCATTTCTTTTTGCTTCTTTCTTAGGATTTCCGCCTCTCTGCTTACATTGCCTGTCTGTTCCTGCACTCTGTCTACTTTATCCATCAGAACCCTCAGCCTGTTAATCATAGCTGTTTTAAATTCCCAGTCTGATATTTTCATCATCCCTGACACGTCTGGTTCTGATGCTTGCTCTGTCTATTCAAATTGTGCTTTTTGCCTTTTCATATGCCTTGTAATCTTTTCCTGAGAGCTGAATGTGACACACTAGGTAGAAAGAGCTGCTGTAAATAGGACTTTTGTGATGTGGTGGCGAGAGGTGGGGGGGGGGGGGAGTGTCCTGTCTCAGTCCTTTAGTGATCCTGTGCCCTCACAAGGTTTTGTTTTTTCTCTCCCTTTAGGTGGATCAGGAGGGCAAGAGTGGCTGGCAGTTGGGTTCTGCCTGCCAGTTAGGCTCAGAGAACAAGCTGCGAAGCTTTGGTTAACTAGTTTCCCCCGAGGGCTGGCCTTTTTAAGAGAAATAGTGCTCTGGGGTATTTCAGAATGGTTCCCTCACGTCCTGGAAACCCAAGGGAATTTTTCTCCACGATTTACTGTGGGAACTTAGTCCATTTAGTAGAGTTAAGACTGTGGGGACCCCCAGTGACTAGGTGCCCCTGGAGTTTTTAAATTCTCAGACTTGTCTGCACAGAGCCTCCAGCAATGAGTCAACCGAGGCTTGGTTTCCTGGGGCTGTCCTGCACTGGGGTCTCTGCTCCGGTCGCCCCCCTGTCCCCACGCCCCCTCCCGTTTGCCCAGCTGTCTGTCCAATCTCAGGGACAGCAGTTTGCCTTGTGGCCTCCCCTCTCTTAAGGATCCAAGAAGAGTGGCTGAGTTTTCATTCTGTTCAGCTTTTTACTTGTAGTTAGGATGGAGCGGAGACTTCCAAGCTCCTTACATTCGGAACAGGAAACCAGAAGCCCTATCTTTTCCTTTAAACATGCAATTTCAACACATTTTCAAAGACAGTGAAACGGCTAATGATGTAGGTTTTATTCCACACACATAGACACATGTAGAGCCAGTCTTAAAAATCTAAAAAGACAGGATGTTGTAGGCAACATTTTAAAGAAAAACTACGTTAGTCCTGGGACATTCCTTTTAAAAGAACATTAACATTCATTTTCCTCAAATTCCTTATCTTCGTACCCTTGTTACAAATAAGAACAAAAGCCACAGCAATTAGTACTGGGTATTAGGTTCTTGCCACGTTCCTGTGCTAGCACTAATCCTGAGTAAAAGGCATTATTTAACCCATTTCATAGATTAAGAAACTGAGGCTCAGAAAGTTTGGACACTTTGCCTAACGTCATAAAATTTGTAAGTTAATAGCGAGATAATAATAATAATAATAATAATGTCTTAAATCCCTATGGTTAAACCTAATCAGAGTCCTGGCCATCTCTGGTGATTAGTGACATGCCTGTTGGCTTAGTCAGCAAGTGACCTTTGCAAACACTGACAGTGGGCTGTGCGTACATGTGAGATTATTTTGGACCATGTTCATTGTCCTCTTCCAGAATATGCTTTCCTAACCTATTTTATCAGAACCTCTGATGCCCTGTCTTCTCCCCTCACCTATTTTGAACCTCGGTATTGCAGCTTCCAGCAGGGGAATGCCTGGTTTTTAGGTAGTGTTGATGAGTTACCAGCAGATTTATAAAGATGTGGGTTTTTCATTAGTCTGGAAGTTGTTTGGTTTTAGTTTTTTGGTAACCCTGTGTTTACCCACCTTCAAATCAAATCGTCTTTTTTCAACTCAAATAAGTTCTTTCCTCCTCAGATCCAAGAGCTTTCAAGCTTTGAAGATAAAAGGACAGGCTGTTTCACAGCTCAGAACTTTCCATGATGTGTTGTCGGGACAGGAAGTGAATGTGCAATCCTTGACATGTCCTGAGGGGTTCATTCAAGACAGAGGCAGCATATCCAGAAGCAGCAAGCCTTAAATCCCTGGCCTGTGACGCACCACTCAGCTGCTCTGTGGCTCTCCGAGGTGGAAGTGAGCACTTTGTGGAGGGGCTTTGGAAGTGAACTCTAGCACCTGGTGAAGCCAAATGGAGCCTGCAGCTGAGAAGTGGGACTGGGCCCAGCATGGAAGACATCTTAAAGGGGAAGGACGGCCTTGGTTGGAAAGTGGATGACTCGTATTTGTCACTGACAACATTAAAACATTAAAGGCCTCATGTGGAAAAAGTTGATTAAAACACAAATTTAATATATTCATGTTTTATCTTCTCAATGAAAACTGAAAAGTAATAATCTACACATTTGTCACACTCAAGAGCCTTCAGAGAGGTTAATGTGGATCATTAAACATCGTCTATTAAGGAATTACATTTCACAATAGTGAGTAAAAGGAAAACACATTAACAACAAAGACCACTATTCTTCCCGCCCCCCCATTCACATGCTCAAACTACACTATTTGTAACAAGAGAAAAAGAAAGACAAAGTTAAAAGCTTTTAAAACTTAGGATATAATAGAATTGCTTCTTCTTGCGAAATACTGTTTCAAGTCTGTTTATTTCAAAGTCAGGTCAGAATGCCACCTTCAAGTTGTGAAACGCCTGGGTTCTTAATACTCTCCTCCCTCTTTGCTTGAGAAAGGCTTTTACCCCCGTCCAACCACAGGGAGATGTTTCTACAATATAGGAGGTTTTTAAACTTGGTTGAAAATAGTTTACAGTTGAATCATTTTTTAAAAAATGGCCACTTGGGCCCCACCTGCCTGCCTGGGATGAAACGGCTCCATCAAACCCCCCCGGAGCCCAGGGGGGCAGGAAGACCGAGGGGAACGCGAACATCGTGCTGCCCCAAAGGGAAACCTATGGAAAGGACACATGCGAGCGGATGGAGTCCGGTAACTTCACTCCAGTGACTCTCCAGTGGCCACAGGCCTTTTCAGTTTGACGAGTGTTCGTGAGGTACCCAGCGTGGCCGGAAGATAAGGTTAAACAGCTGTGGTGTCTGTAAAGAAGGCAGACCCACTGTGCTCCTTTGTCTGGTGTGTGTGAGCGACTGGCACGGCGCGTCCTACGCAGCGCGCACTCTGTGACTATGATCAGCACTCACAGATTTATTGTCGCTGCTGAAAAAGAATGTACTTAGCAAATGAGTGTGTAAAGCAAGTGGTCTTCACGCAGATGCGTCTATGGGTGAAGGTGCCCGAGTCAGGGGCCCTGGGCCACATCCCGGCAGGACCTCAGCAACTTACCTGACCTTCCCGAGACTTGTTTATAAAATGCGTAAGACAAGGACAGTCCCTTAGCGGGTCGGGGTGAGGCACCCCGCCTGGCACCCCGGGAGTCCCCTGCGCACCTCCACCTCTTCCCGGCGCCTCATTTCCTCCTCCTGCAGCCCTCTTTCTCGACAGACGCAAGCTGCTTGGTGTCTGGGCTGCTGGACTCCTTCCCCCCTCCCTCTCACCCCCTCCCCCCGCCGCCTAATCGTTACTCGGCAGGCACACCACTTTCTCCTTGGCCCACAGAGGTTCTGTGGCTCCCACCTGACTTCAGGACAAGAACTACACTTGTTAGCCTGATGGGCCTCGTGCGTGCCCCGACTCCGCTCCCAGGAGTCCCCGGCTCGCCGCACTGGTGCTCCCTTCGGAGGAGCTCTCACCTCCTTCTGTCGTTCCCCTCAGGCAAAAGTGCTGTCCTCCAGGGCGCCCGGGACCACGGCTGGGGCCCCCTTCCAGAGCCAGACTCGGCCCCTTGTCTCCTCACCGGACACGCGGCTCCCTGCCACCCGAACCCGTGTCCCCCGCCTCCCAGCGTCCTCCGCGCCAGCCCGCCCTGCGGCCTTCAAGCAGGGCTGCGGGGCGCGGTGACGCGGGGCTCCGAGACACACAGGAGAACGACGCCCTCTTCCCTCTGTAAGCAGCTCTGACGGTGGAACAGCTCTTTCTGTTTTTCAGTCTCAAGAAAGATGCACTCTGTCCTGAACACTGCACCGTCCTAAACGGGGGTCCGCCTTGGGCCCGGGATTACACGATCCAAATGAGCTCTGCAGACACGGCTCATCTAGGAGTGCCTGGTCTTAACCCCGAGGCCGCGGACTCCGCGACCGCCTCCGGCCCTGCTATCAAGAGGTGCCAGGCAAGCGGTTGGGGCCCCAGTTCCGGTCGTCCAGGACCCGGAAGGGAGGCAGAGCAACACGCGTGCGTTTCCCTCCCAGGGCTGGAGCGGAACCTGCGGCAGGAGCATGCGCAGAGGGCACCACGCGCGCGCTCGGCAGGAGCATGCGCAGAGGGCACCGCGCGCGCCCTGCGGAGGGCTCTGGGCGCAGCCAGGCGTGGCGGGGCTGAGTCCTGAGCCTGTGTCGTGGCTGCGAAGAGCGGCGCGGACACAGGCTGGTGATGGCTGCGAGTGTTGTGCCCGAATCGCGAGTCCCCAGAGACCTCCAAGGAGCCAACGCGGATGCAAGAACAAAAGGGTCTTTATTACAAGCTCGAGCAGGGGCTCACCCATTTCCCGGGGCAGCGGCAACAAGGTGAAGCCCCGAACAGTGGCGAGCAGGGTCTTTATGGAGGAAGGGCGGGGGTGTAACCGTGCACGCGCTGTATGTTTTGCATCATTACATAAGCACCAATCATAATTGTACAACACCCATAGTAACAGCGTAGTAACAGTTTTGACCATTCAGTATCTGCGAGGCGTCCGTTACTTTTGGCGGGACCCAGTCATGACCTTTGAGAGTCTTTTAAAATGACCAATTATGAGGTGGGCTCAGAGAACCTACGTGGGGCTTCTGCAAGCGTGATTGATTGGCAAGTACCATGATTGATTGGCAAGTTTGTACAAAGTAACCACCTGCAGTTCCCAGCCCTGACTCGTCTCCAAGACTACAGGAATGTTACACATTTCTTTTGATTGGCAGATCCCAGGGCGGTCCGAGGGGTCCGAGGGTGGCTTCAGCTGAGGCTTTTCCTGGAACCGGGACTACGTGCAGCCTGAGGTTGTTTTTAATGGAGGACTTAATTTCAGGCTCCTCACGAGCAGAGGAGGCGTTGAGGCGGCAGCCCGCGGGAGGAGCGGCAGGTGCCAGGACCAGAGGCGACGCACAGCGTGGCGAGTTTGGGATGGAAACGCTGGGGTGAGGCGAGGTGGGACGGTGGCCACAAGGTGCAGGGAGAAAGCTGCCGAGGTTGGCCAGGGCCAGACCGTGGAAGGCCTTTATGCCTTGTGGAGGCATCTGGACTCCTTCCGGAGGGTTCTAGGGCAGGCAGCCTCTGAGATGGAGTGAAATAGATTGTAGTAACTCTGGAAATCGGATTCTGGACCTCTGTCGCCGGGGTGTGGGGTGGTTTTGTCCAATGCCCTTTCTGAACGAATTCTGTGACGTCTGTAATCTTTGTTAGGTTTATCCACGGAACCCTCTGCTCCGTTGACTCAGGGCTCGGTTGAATGAATGGGCAGAGATCTCCTTAAATTCCTATGACCAACAAATCCGGGCTTGGCCAGGAGCCTCTGTGTACCCCGTGGGGCACCTCTTCAGTACTGAGCCGGTGACAGCTATGCCCAGCACTCGCTTCCTGGCTGTGTAGAGTCTGACGACTCAGCCAGGGGTGAGAACTTAGGGCCTTCTCAGTCTTTTTCCAGCACACACACAGCCCTGCCTGTGCAGATGGCTGGCCAGAGCCCAGGAAGACGCCAAAGCGTGTAAAGCCCTAGGAGACTCCTTCCTCAGCTTGTCCCTTTAAGCTTTCTGGTTAGCCGCTTGTGTGCCTCCTGTTACCCACTGCCTCAAGCATGCGCAGAGCCCCCAGCTAGGAAGTTAAACAATTGCCTCTAATGTTTTTGAATAAACACCCCTTGGAGAAAAGGCTTTTTGCGTGCAGTGAGTGCAAGTCAGGTCAAAGAAAGATGACCTTGCAAGTGGGGTCTTCCAGGGAACTATCAGAGTGACCGAATAATGGCAGTGCCCTGGGAGTGAGGCTCTCGGGGACCCCAGCCCCATTTTGATCTGTCTCTTGGATACCAAGGCTGCTGGTCTTACTCTGTTCGGTTTTCAAGGCAGCAGTGGAGACAGGAAGATTGGAATAGGGCGAGTTGAAATACACAACTCTCACTGTTCTTACCAAGATTCAGTCACATACACCGAATAGAAGATTCCCAGATGACTGCAAGCCTTTGGTTAATTCCAGGAGTTCTGACAAAGTTGATTTTGACCATTTATTGTTAGTTTTCTTGTTACTTTTTTTGGAGGAAAAAATGTTCAGAAGTCCTTATTCCTAACCAGATTTCTGTTCTGGAAGGTGAGTTTGACCCGCATGTGTAGAAGACATTAGGATTTGGGTGAGACTGGAGTCCGGGAGAGGAGATGGGAGTTTTCATGGTCAGTGGGCAACATGATAGTATTCATAGGAGGGGAAACACCCGAAAGAGCTCCTATGTATCAAAGGGTTGCAGTTTGCCAGGTTCTGTGCTCAGTATTTTACATATTTTTTTTGTACATCATCATATCTATTTTAAAGATGATAAAACTGCATTTAGAGAAGTTCAATACCTTGTCCAAGGTCACACAGCTAAAAGGGAGATAGAGCAGCTTTTGAATCATGAATCTGACTTTAAAATCCATGTTCATAATCACTAGCTTGTATTTCTAGAAGGAGGCCCGATTTCTACTGTAAAATCATTCTTGTAACAAATATTCCTTCATGACTGGGTACGTGCTGGGTACTGTTTTAGGGGTTAGGGATATAGTAGTGAACAAGATAGAAAAAAGTCCCTGTTCTCATGGAGCTTATATTCTAGTTGGTGGAGACACACAGTAAACAAGGTACATAAGCAAACTATATCTTATGTTGGATGGTGATAGGTGCTGAAATAAGGCAAAGGAAGGAGAAAGAGAAAGGGCCTTGCTAGAAAGTAATATTTGAGCAAGGATCTGAGGCTGAGAGAAGAAGCATGTGCATATCTTTTTCTTTTTAATGTTTATTTATTTTTGAGAGACAGAGACAGAGAGAGAGAGAAAGAGCAAGCAGGGGAGGGGCATAGAGAGAAAGGGAGACACAGAATCTGAAGCAGGCTCTAGGCTCCAAGCTATCAGCACAGAGCTTGACACGGGGCCCAGACCCACGAACCGTGAGATCATGACCCAGCTGAAGTCTGGTGCCCAACTGACTGAGCCACCCACAGGCACCCCAAAGAATGTACATGTCTAAGTGAAGAGCACTCTGGACAGAAAGGATAGCAAGTGCAACGGCCCTGAGACAGGAAGGTACTTGACTTGCATGAGAAACAGCAAGCGATCAGGGTGGTGGGTAGACCTGAGTGAACGAGGAGGGGGAGTATAAGGAGACAAGGTCAGAGAGGTAATGGGGACCCAGACTGCATGGGCCTCATAGGCCACTGGAAGGAGTCTCACTTTGAGCATTGACATCCCTGAAAAGATTCCTCTGTCTTACGTGTTGAGAATGGAGAGACAGGGCCAGACAGGAGGCGGCCAGGAAGCAAGCTTTGCAGGAACCTAGGACAGGGGACATGGCTTGGGGCAAGGTGGTAGCATTGGAGAGGTGAGAAGTGGTCAGCTTCCATATATATTTTGGAGATTAAGCTTACAGGATTTGCTGGTTGTCTGGTGGTGGGGAGTGAGGAAAGAAAGTTATCAAGGACAACTCCAAGTTTGGGAGCTTCCACCGCGGGGAGAATGGCATTTCCCTTGCTGAGATGGGGGAGGGTGGGAGGAAGAGGTTTGGGGAATTCAAGCAGGTGTCTGCGGGTGTTTCGTTGAGTGACCTATCCAGTATCCTTGGGGAGCTTTCTGGTGGCCAGTTTGATGCACAAGTCTGTTGTTCAGGGAGATAACTGAGCCTGGGTGAGCAAGACAGCATAGAGGTGAGGACCACGAAATGGCCATAATAGCATAATGGTAAAAGGGGGTGGGTAGAGGTCAGATACACTCAGAAAGCACAGCCCTTGGGATCCCTCCCACCTCATCTCCTACCTTGTTTGCTTCAGCAGAAGCATTCTTCCATCAGCAGTATTCACACTGATGACCTTGATTTATAAAAAGAAATAAATTAATGAAGCAGCTGGCACGGGACGCCACTCAGTGACCACTGTGTGACAGCTCTGTGCTCTGGAAATGCTCCTGTGTCATCTCACTGAACTTCAGTATACAGTGAGAAGGCAGGGAGGGCTGACATTAATTTTGCAAGATTTCCACACCAAAAAAACCCTGTTAAACTTGACATAAATAAATGTGTGACATTTAAACAGGCAAGCCTCAGTTTTCAGGAAAATGAATTCAGGTGGACCAGCCCTTGCCCAGGGACACAGGACAAATGAGACTTCACTGCATGTTAGGTCAAGATGGAGAGAGCTGGAAAGTGGGGAGAAGCTGGGACAGACTCGTTCAAGTCCACTCAATCCAGGGTCAATGGCCATCCATCACTCAGCGCTCTCCCCAGGCAGAAAATGGACATGGTTTGCTAGAGAGAGTTCATATTCCCCACTTGTATTAATCTTCCCTTTCTAGGGAGCTTGCCAATCTGCTGAGGAAAACACGCTTCATGTCAGCATTTCCAATGTCAGTGAAAGCCCTTTGTTTGCCTCGCCCTTCCCAGGGACTGACCGACCGCATTTCCACGCGGGAACCATCTTTTTATCCGCTCGTCACATACGGTTGGCTCAACCCAACGGGTCTTTTCTCTGGAGCGTCTTGCTGCAGTCTGTGGTTACAGTTTTTAAAGACTTAATAAACAGATGTGTTTTTCTATCCCCAAGGAAGGAAATGAAGATTGTCACTTGGTGTTGTTTTCTGCCATCATGTTTTTGTTACTGTTGTAGAAATGGAGCAGAAAATTACTGTTGCTCCTTTATTGCTCAACTGCCCACGCCACTTCCAGTCCTTGGGAAGAAAATCAATTGTTTTTGCAAATTTTATTCAGACATTTGGGTTATTATTTGCTGAAATCATCTCCATTCTTTCCTCTGAAAAGAGGAAGTTCTGTGATTGGAAAAAAAAAAAACAAACCACTGCTTTTCCACTGCAATGAAAAATCAGCTGCTGTGGTAGCCTTTCATTATATCTCTGCACCTCACTTAGTCACAGGATATTAGTGAAATAGATGATATGTTTACACCTGTCTTTTATGTCATGCAACTTTAAAGTTCTTTCAAAAGTTTTTAA